ATCGAAAGGCGTATGACATGGTGCCACATTCATGGGTCGTAGAATGTCTCGAAAGCATTGGTGTTAATGAGGAAGTAATTGTATTCATGAAAGAATGTATGAAATCTTGGAGAGTAGAGCTGACAAGTGGAAGTGATGTGTTGGGGGAGGTACAGATAAATAGAGGAATATTCCAGGGAGATTCGTTGTCACCATTACTATTTATCATAGCACTGCTGCCCCTTACAAGTATTCTACGAAAGTCTAAACCAGGGTATAAATTCGCTTCGGGGGGAAAAATTAACAATATGTTATTTATGGACGATTTGAAGTTGTATGGAGAAAGCGAAAAAGCACTTGATTCGCTAGTTCAGACAGTCAGAATATTCACGAGTGATATTGGAATGGAATTTGGAATAGAAAAATGTGCGACAATGATCCAAAAGAGAGGAAAAGTAGTAAGATCGGAAGGTATTAAACTGCCAGATGAGAAGGTAATAAAGTCGTTGCAAGACAACAAAGGTTATAAGTATCTTGGAATATTACAAGTCGACAAAGTAAAAGGGCAAGAAATGAAAGAAAAGATCACAAAAGAATATAAAAGAAGAGTAAGAAAAGTTCTAGAAACGAAGTTGAATGGAGAAAACATGATTAAAGGGATTAACATTTGGGCAGTATCTTTGATAAGGTACTCAGCTGCCTTTTTAGAGTGGACCAAAGAAGAGAATCAAGGTATCGATCGGAAGACAAGAAAATTAATCACGATGCATAAGGGATTGCACCCGAAGAGCAACACAAACAGACTTTATATCCCTAGAAAAGAGGGGGCAGAGGACTTTTGAGCATAGAGGATACTGTTGATCTAGCTGAGCTTGGACTGAAAAGCTATGTGAAAAACAGCTGTGAAAGATTACTAGTGGCTGCAAGGCAAATAGAGGATTGTCAAGGAAAAAATGTAGTAGACTTTAAGAATAGAAAAAAAAAAAAATTGAAAGGCAAAAGGAATGGAAAGATAAAACACTTCATGGCCAGTTTTTACGACAAACGGATGATGAAGCAGGAAAAGAACGATGGATGTGACTCAAAGGAACAGGAATTAAACGTGAAACTGAATCGTTAATTCTGGCAGCCCAAGAACAAGCAATAAGAACCAATGTTATCAAGGCTAAGATTGACAACACACAGGAGGAAAGCAAATGTCGTATGTGTGGTAAGGTAGATGAAACAGTAAATCACATTATTAGTGAATGTAATATGCTGGCCCAAAGAGCGTACAAACGACGTCACGATTGCGTGGGAAGAAAGATCTATTGGGCATTGTGTCGAAAGTATGGATTGGCAGCATCAGAAAGATGGTATGAACATCAACCAGAAACGGTTACCGAAAACGAAAGCTGTAAGTTATTGTGGGATTTCAATGTTCAGACAGATCATGTCATTCAAGCCAGAGGACCTGATGTCATTCTTATTGATAAAGAAAAGAAAGAATGCAAAATTATAGACTTTGCCATACCGTATGATAGTAGAGTGAATGCAAAAGAGATGGAAAAAATAGAAAAGTGTCAAGATTTAGCACGAGAAGTACAGAAACTATGGAACATGCGAACGAAAGTAATTCCTATTATAATTAGTGCACTTGGGACAACCCCAAAGAAACTTTCTAAAAGATTAGATGACCTTGGAATAAGAACACGAATTGTTGAACTGCAGAAAACTTATCACCCACTCTGCAAGGATCCTCCGCAAAGTGCTTGAAATTTGAGGAGTCTTGTTGACACCAAGTTTCAAGCTGTTATCACCACTGACAAAGACAGTGTGCGACACAATCAATAATAATAATAATAATAATGACACAACAACACAACAATAATGATAATGCTAATGATAATTATACTACTCATACTTAGAATTAGTAACGCTGAAGAAATGTGCAAGATTCCTGATAAAAATGAGTGACCTTATTAATGGAAAACATGAGCACCGTGATATTTAGAAACGAAAGGATGGCTAACATTACAGGTGTAGTTTTAGGTTTGATTTTATACCAATTACTAGATTAAACAATAGTACTTGGAATACGTAGTTGGAATACGTTTTAAAGGCTTACCATATCTGTATATAATCTCCATTTGCTCTGAATCATCATGATGCCCACTCACCCAGGCACTACGTTAACTATAATGAAAATAGTGATATGAACAGTAATAACAAAAAATACATACAAATAAAAACATTGCATCCAAGGCGAAGACAATACTTGTGCCAGTTTTAGTAAAATGCCTGTTTACAGATACAACACTTAGGCTGGAGTATGATACATGCCTACTGCCAAAAGCAAATTACAGTTATATTGGAATATCACACTTGCTGCCTTATTTATTAGCGCACGATTGTTCATGGACATCTAATAACACTGCAGTTAACCAAAACACAAACTGCTAGGTTGTACTAATTGTTCTAAAGCTAAAAAAAAGTAATTTATGGTTCGCCGTAACCCGCAAGGGCTGCTCGACCCTTGTCTTACACTACGGCGCTTTGACTTGTACCAATATGACGGGCCCCTTGCTCTGTGTATGGGCCGAAGGAGCACTGTAACGCGTTTGAGTATCCGGCCTCTGGTAACTACTATAATAACCAGTATCATTAGTAACAAGCAGTGAAAATGAGAGTGATTATTGCTAACATTGTCTTTATTGTTAATCTTATTGCTACTTTCATTATCCCATATTATTATCATCACCGTTTTCCTTATCCAGGAAAGAGAGAAGAATCCTTAACAAAAGCTTTTATCTCGCCAGGATCTCGAGCCGTCGTCCACTTGACCAGGATCTCGTCAACAACATCTCATCTCTCAACCTCAGCATCACAGACCTCGGCAAAGTGAGTACTAACATTTTTTTTCCAAATTCCCTAATGTCTTGCTAATTCCCAGCACGCTGACCCACAAACAAACCATTCTATAGATGCTGATAAAGTCCTGTTCCTTTTTTATTCTCTTAGCTATGTGGTCGCGTGGGCGTGGATGGGCGTGGGTGGCGGATGTGTACCCGGTCCCCTGAAATTGCGGGCGTGATGCTGGAGGCCGCGTGGGTGAGCGTCGTCCATTGTCAACGCGTCATGCAGTACGAGCGCTGGAACTGCTCCCTCGGCCATTCCCGCCTCATGATGGTCAAGAAAGGTCAGGCACTCTGCCTCTGCGCTCCGAAATCATGCTGCTTCCGGACAAAAATTAGGAATTTTCACTTACGGAAGGATGATGCTGCGTTTCTAACATTTGCGTTTTAGATACTGTAGATCTATATATAATTGTTGAATTGCAATCAATCAGTTTTTATTAACTACTAACGGTAACCTCGAATTCCTTGACTTATTGGAGGAAACACCGTAGTACTTGTTTGATGTGATAAAAGAAGCAAAACAAAACATGAAAACATCAAAAACTATAATATGTATATATCAGCTATGAATTTACTTAGAAAATCGTAACCAGTGCCAAGAGCATCTGATATTCTGCTGCTCAGGGCATCATTACATCTCTAACGACTGATCTTTAAGGCAGAGGTGTCCTTCCAGTGTACCGGGAGACGGCGTTGCTTCAGGGTCTGTCGGCGGCCGCCCTCACGCACGTGGTGGCGCGGGCGTGCGCCTCGGGCCGCCTAACACGCTGCTCCTGTGACGAGTCGACCGTGACCCGGACGGAGAACATGCGGGTGTGGCGCTGGGGCGGCTGTGGGGACAACCTGGCCTACGGCACCAGGTGAGAGGGGGGCAAGGGAATGCAGGTGCACGCATCAGGGTGCCTGCGTGCGAGGTCCGCTCATGTGGACCTTGCTTGCGAGTGCACGGGCATGTGTGTCTGTGCATCAGTGAGATGCAAGCGTGACCGAATAGCCTTGGCATCCGAAAATTCTAATATGAATACGTAGATATATACATATATAATGCTCGCGTATGCGCGCGTGCGTGTGCTTACGTATATATGAATATATATATATATATATATATATATATATATATATATATATATATATATATACATATATATATATATATATATATATATATATATATATATATACATATATATATATATATACACACACACACACATGTATATGTATATATACACCCATTTATAGATGTATGTATTCTTACGTGTACATGGCCACACACACACACACACACACACACACACACACACACACACACACACACACACACACACACACACACACACACACACACACACACACACACACATACACACACACACACACAAACACACACACACACATACACACACACACACACACACACACACAAACACACACACACACACACACATCCTGCTATAAACAAACACACCAAAAGTTATAAAAAGAAAGAAAGAAAGACAGAACTAAAAAACACACACACACATCCCCTTTAAGCACATCATTCGAACCCTCTCATGCCACCCTCTCGTTCCAGGTTCGCTCGCCGCTTGTTTGTGGGAAGGACTAAGAAAAGGAAGAAGACAAAGAACGGGAAATCGTCACGGCGCAGCAGAGACTTCAAGTCCAGGATCGACGCCCACAACGCCTTTGCGGGGATGAAGGTGCAGTGGGCGGGGTTGGGCGAGGGTGCCCGGTGGGAGGGAGTGAGGGGGGAGGAGAAAGGGGGAGGGAAGGATAAAGGGAGGAGAAAGAGGAAGAAGGATAAAGGGAGAGGGAAGGATAAAAGGGAGGAGAAAGAGGAGGATGGAGAAAGGGAGAGGGAAGGGGATAGGGGGAGAGGAAGAAGAAGAAAGGGAGAGGGAAGGGGATAGGGGAGAGGGAGGGAGGGGAGATATGGGAAAGGAGTGGAAGAGGAAGAGGGAGAGGGATAGGGAGAGAAAGAATATGAAGGAAAGGGAGAGAGAAAGGGAGAATATGAGGGAGAGGATGGGGAGAGGGAGAGGGAAAATGAGAGGGAGAAGGAGAAGGAGAGGAAGAGAGAGAGGGAAAGGGGGAGGGAGCAGGGGGAGGGAAAGAGAGAGGGAA